TGGCTAGGCAGGAAGTATAGGCGGGACTAACAGAGAGGAGAAATAAAAGAACAGGAAGGCAGAAGGACTCACTGCCTGCTAGCCGCTTGCCAGGACAAGCAGAATGTGAAAATGCCAGTAAGCCACAAGCCACGTGGCAAGGTATAGATTTATGGAAATGGATTACTTTAAGATATAAGAAAAGTTAGCAAGAAGCCTGCCACGGCCACACAGTTTGAAGCAATATAAGTCTCTGTGTTTACTTGGTTGGGTCTGAGCGGTTGTGGGACTGGCGGATGACAAAGATTTGTCTTGACTGTGGGCCAGGCAGGAAAACTCTAGCTACAGAGAAATATTAGGCCTTCATTTTAGTGTGAAAGCATTTTGGTCTTATTTTTAAGATGGCTCATTTTGGTCTCACAGTTAAAAGTGTAGGTTCCTACTTTGGAGAGTAGATGGGTGGCCTGGGAATCTGCATTCCTGGAGTGGCCCCTTGTAATGTTTTATGTCCCTGTTCCCTAGGAAGCACTGAATTTTTAATTTTTATTTAAGTTTAAGTTAGGTAGCAAGAATCCTATCCTATACCTAATTCTTTAGTACTGAATATTTGGGGATAAAGAATGGAGAACACTGTATATGAATAACTTACTACATTTTTCTTCTCTCCTTGCTCAGGGTCTAATATGTAAATTATGTTAAAAAATTACAAAAGAATTTTTTGCAGTGGGAGAGAGGGAGACAGACAGAGAGAGGGAGAGGGAGATAGAGAAAGAAAGATTACAGAGTTGTGGTGATATTTTATTTGTGCACCCCAATAAACCTTATCTGGGATCAGAGAACAGAATCAGCCACCAAATTAGACATAGAGGTCAGGCATGGTGGCACATGCCTTTAATCCCAGCACTAGTTAACCATAGAGGTCTGGAGGTCTGTATAGACAGACAGGAAGTAATAGAGTTGGGCAGAAAGAGGAAGTGATGTAGCTGGGTGGAGAGAGGACATAAGAAGGTAGGGCACAGAAAGGTATGTAGGTGTGAGTATATATGAAGTCGCTCTCTCTTGGGCTGAGGATTTCCTAGCAGTAAGAGGGCTTGGCTTGTTCTATTCCTCTGATCTCTCAGTTTTCACCCCAGTATCTGGCTCTGTTTTTTTTTTTTTTTTTAGTAATACCTTTTAAAATTCATGTTACACCTGGCACCCCAACATTTGTGGCATGAATTCACAAAAAAGCCACTTGCCTGTGGCCTTACAGGCCCCAGCTCAAGTCTGAGCTGTATGCGGCTGGAGTTCCACCCCACATAGGCTGAAGTCCCTAACCAGCTACATCCAGATAGCTGGATCTTTCACTTCTCTCTTGGTGGGTTGTGGACTCTCTCTGGATCCCCATCTGGGCAGATATTATACTAAGTAGCTGTCTTGAAACCTGCTTGGCTTCTATTGTTCTTCACAGAGGAGTCAGCCTCACATCTGAATTGTCATTGTTGGCAAATTTGGTAAGTCAAGTAAGATTTCTTAAAAGGAGAAATTAGTTAAAAGAGAATTTTCTAACATTTTTACAATGGAGGGAATTTGGTCTCTGTTTGATAACACATTAGGCGGTCTGAAAATGGAACAATTAAGGGAGAGAATAATTAATGAGGATGGGATTTACATAATGTCAATTATGAATATTATTTGTTTGGTCATTTTTGTTTTATCTTTAAAAAGGTTGATTAATTTGAGTGCCAAGATAAAAGTTTTAGAAAAACTTGTTAAAACAAATCATAGAGAAATTCCAACCCAGACAGAAGAATTTAGAGGTGAATGAATCTCAGCATTGAATTATATGGTTACAGCCTAAGGTTTTCAAACAACCAACCTTAATCTATCTGGTAACCTTACAGGAACTGCCAAATGCTCAAGGCTGTATATGAGCTAACTAGACTCCTGTGGAAATGTTAGATTTGAGGAGATTTAAAGAACTACAGTCTCATATGGTATGCATTCTCTGTTTGTAAGGCAGATGTTAAATCCCTCAAAACTGAGAAAGATTTGGTTACAGCTGTCCTAGAGGCTGGTCCACAGTTACAATATAGAACCTGGTAGAAAGAGGAGGCTAAGACTACAGAACAACGATATAGGACTAGAGGTATGGAAATTTCCCAAGATCAACTTCTTGGAGAAGGTGATTATGTTAATATACAAAAACAATCTTTATATGATGACCACACCCTAATTCTATGCCACGGCAACCTTGAATGCTTGGGACAGAATTGAAGAAGTAGGAACGAAAATTGAGTCATTTACAAAAGTTATACAGGGCCCAAAAGAAACCGTCATGGATTTCTTACAAAGGCTGTCTTCAGTGATAAATAAAATAATAACAAATTCAGAAGCTGGACAGATAATAATTGAATCTCTGGCTTTTGAAAATGCTAATGCACATTGCAAAAGGGTAATTAGGCCATTAAAGGCAAGATCAGCACCCTTGGAGGAATGGATCTGAGATACAATTAATATTGAATCTCATGACCATGATAATACTTGGATTGGAGAGGTGATTTCCAGAGGTTTGAAGAAAAATAAATATAAAAATAATAATGTCAGATGTTTTAATTACAGTAAACAGAATCACCTAAAAAAAGACTCTTAACAGGGCTTTCCTAGAAACAATGTTTTTTCAAGGAACAATGGCAACAGAATGCCTCTCCCTTCTGGATTATGCAGAAGGTGTGGTAAAGGCAAACACTGGACTAATGAATGTACATCAACAAGGGACAGACAAGGTAATCCTTTGCCTTTGCCACCAGGAAAATCCCTAAGGGGCCTTTTGCAGGCCCCCATGGCAAATTTGGTTTAGTTCTTTCCTGCCATCATAGAAGAAACCCCTTCTCAGAGAAATTAAATAACCAAATGCCTATTGTAAAAAAACACACTGCTTGGGATGATAGAACAGCTATAGCAGAGAGAGAAAAAAATTTCAGAAGAATCCATAAATCAATTTTTTTTGGCAAACTTTTATAAATGAACAAAGACCAAAATTAAAAATACAAATAAATGATGTTCTCATGGAAGGTCTTGTTACACAGGTGTGGGTGCAACAATAATTGCACCAGAATCTTGGCATCCAAATTGGCCTCTTCAGGAGGTAAATGTTCAGCTGTTGGGGACTGGAACATTATTTCAAGTAAAACAGAGAGCAAGATGGGTCAAATGTATAGGGCCAGAAGGACAGAGAGGAAAATTAAAGCTATATGTGGCTAATATAGCTATGAATCTATGGGGCCATGATCTATTACAACAATGGAATACCCAGATTAACATTCCTTCAACCTCAGAAACAAACCATAAACTAATGTATGTTTCTGGGAAAAATATTAGAAGGTCTTATAAAGAACAGTCACCAGCCATCCTCACTTTATAAAAACAGGGCACAACAGCTGCTGATTTTTCAAAGACACCAACAGCTCTACCTTTACAATGGTTAATAGACAGGCTTATATGGGTTCAACAATGGTTTTTAACAATAGGGAAACTACAGGCCTGATAACAGCTGCCATAAGTAGTTAAATACTCAACACATTAAAGAATCAACCAGTCCTTGAAATTTTCCTGTATTTGTTATTAAAAAGAAATCTGGTAAGTGGAGAATGGTAACAGACCTAAGAGAAATTAACAAGGCCATTCAGCCAATGGGTTCTCTGCAATCTGGAATTCCTTTGTCTACTCTGTTACCTAAAAGATGGCCTCTTATTGATGTAAAAGACTGTTTCTTCTCAATACCCTTACAATAAAAAACAGAGAAAGATTTGCCTTCATGGTACCTACTTATAATAATTCTCAGCTGGTTAAGAGATATCAATGGAGGGTCCTCCCACAAGTAATGTTAAATAGCCCAACCTATGCCAATATTTTGTATGACAGTCATTGGAAGTAATATGTAAGCAGCTTCCTAAATCTATAATTTATCATTACATGGATGATATTTTACTAGCTGATTCAAATGCAGATACTTTACAAAGAATATTTGAAGAAGTAAAGAAAATTTTGCCTTAAGATAAAAAGGTAGATTATTGAATCTACTTTTAAAAGGCAACTACTAATTTTAAATATTTTACATTGGATTGAACTTTTGTACATTGTATACAAATTATGTATATTGTTACAAATTTGAGATTGATTTATATAGATATAAGATAAAAAGGTAGATTATTGACTATATTTTTTTTGATGGGTGCAGTGAACTTTATTGATGTTATTCAAGAGAGTAGGCCTCCCTAAGCCCCTCCTGTTGTTCTCGGGGGTCTGGGATGGAAACTGTGAGGGAGATGCTCAGTATCGGGGGCTGAGATGGGACAGGAACTGCTCAGCAGCGGAGGGTCCCTCTTGCTGTCCTTGCTGGGGTGGGTGGTCTAGGGCATGCTTCTTACTCCTTGGAGGCCATGTAGGCCATGAGGTCCACCACCCTGCTGCTGTAGCCAAATTCAATGTCGTACCAGGAAATGAGCTTCACAAAGTTGTCAATGAGAGCAATGCCAGCCCCAGCATCAAAGGTGGAAGAGTAGGGGTCACTGTTAAAGTCGCAGGAGACAACCTGGTCCTCGGTGTAGCCCAGGATGCCCTTTAGTGGGACCTCGGATGCCTGCTTCACCATCTTCTTGATGTCATCATACTTGGCAGGTTTCTGCAGGTGGCATATCAGATCCATGACGGACACATTGGGGGTAGGAACACGGAAGGCCATGCCTGTGAGCTTCCTGTTCAGCTCTGGGATGACCTTGCCCACAGCCTTGGTGGCACCAGTGGATGCAGGGATGATGTTCTGGGCAGCCCCACGGCCATCACGCCACAGCTTCCCAGAGGGGCCATCCACGATCTTCTGGGTGGCAGTGATGGCGTGGACTGTGGTCATGAGTCCTTCTACAATACCAAAGTTGTATTGACTCTACTTTTAAAAGGCAACTACTAATTTTAAATATTTGACATTGGATTGGACTTTTGTGTATTATATACAAATTATGTATATTGATACAAATTTGCGATTGATTTTGTTAGAAAATACTGTACATATATTTCTAATCTTGTTCAAGGTATTGTACCTATACAGTTCATTTAACAATGTAATGTAATTTTCTAGTCCTTGAAAGTTGTTACCAACTATTTAGGATAATAAAGGAATGCAGGTTAGTAGTTAGTCATTACAATTGAACTTGTAGTCATCTTAGGTATGTTTTCAAGGTCAAGCAGAAATATATTTTAGGCATATAAGTCATCATCAAACACTTCAAAGATCTACAGAATATGGCATTTAAGATGTTTTAATAACATGGATTTTTTTTTTTAAATTTTTCATGACTATGAAACATGTCTGCTCCTGACAGCACCAATCTACTTCAGAGAAGATGATGAACATCAAAGAAATTCCATATGAAGTTTACTTTCATTATGGCAAAAGTTAGCCACTGGCCAAGAAAGTGCCCTTGCATCAACTGCTGACAGTATGCTGTCCAAAATGGACAAGCAGGACACAAAAGAAAGGACTGCCTATCTTTGCCAAGACAAGGTAGGGAAGCCCTTTAGAAAATCCTGCTTCACAGATGAATCTGTTAGATATGCTAGGCCTGTAGGCCAAAGATAGGTGCCCCAACATTGCAGAGAAACCTTGGGTGACTGTCCAGGCAGCCAGTTGTTTCTGTCATAACTCGCACTTTTTGGAAGTCACTTTTTTGCACTTCCTGTTTAACTAGGTAATATTACTCATTTCCTTCTTGGGTCTTTGAGGGAGTTGAAGATTAGATAGTTGAAGTTTTCCTTGTTAACAAATTCAGAAAAGAAACCCACTAAAGAGGTGTAAAGTGTATAAGTTTAAAATACATCAAAAGATAGTTTCAGGTTGGTAATGCAAATTAGGATAGAAGGTGAATTATAAAATCTTTTGGATTCACAAAAATAGGATAAATAATGGAGTATTTTCTCTAAATTTGTCAAATGCAAATGGACTAGACATTGCTGATGTATTTATTGCCTGTATATATTATATATAGTTTTTCTTATATTAGTTATAACATTTTTTATTTTACATAAAAAGGGGAAATGTGGTGATATTTTATTTGTGTACCACAATAAACTTATCTGGGGATCAGAGAACAGAATCAGCCACCAAATTAGACATAGAGGTCAGGCAGTGGTGACACATACCCTTAATCCTATTACTTGGGAGGCAGAGATCTGTTTGGATCTCTCTGAGTTCAAGGCCACACTGGGAACAGAGCCAGTCATGGTGGCACATGCCTTTAACCCCAGCACTAGTTAACCATGGAGGTCTGGAGGTCTGTGCAGACAAACAGGAAGTGATAGAGCTGGGCAGAAAGAGGAAGTGATGTAGCTGGGCAGAGAGAGGAAGTAAGATGGCAGGGCACAGAAAGGTATATAGGCGTGAGTATACAGGAAGTAGCTTTCTCTTGGGCTGAGGCTTTCCTAGCAGTAAGATCTTGTGGCTTGGCTTGTTCTATTCCTCTGATCTCTCAGTTTTCACCCCAATATCTGGCTCTGTTTTTTTTTTTTTAATTAATAAGACTGTTTAGCAATTCGTCTTACACAGAGTATTATTCTAGGTATTTTCTAACATGTCTGCCTGGATTATTTCATTGCTATTGTGCACAATTTCCAGTTATTTTGTGTGTGTAGAGCATGTGCTGTGGAATGTATGCGTTTGGAAGTCAGATGACAGCTTGTGGGAGTCGAGTCTCTTCTTCCACTATGTGGTCCAGGGAAGGAACTCGGTTCCCCAGGCTTGATGAGCATCTTTAACTCGCTGGCCTCCTTACAGGCACCCACCAGCGGCTCACACTTAAACTGTCATTCCATTTCTGTAAGTCGAAGGCCTCGATGTGTAATGCAGGTGGTTCCTGACTATTGAAATGCAAATAGTTTGCCCTATGAAATCCAAGTGATTATTGCTGGATATTGACCACAGCTGTTTGTAAATTCATCTCAGGGCTGGGGTGTGTATGTGGTTTGAATTTTCTTTTGAATGCATTATAATGTCTTGCAGATTCTCATGTTAATTAATGGGCTGATAAAATTTTTATTTAGCACATATTTGCTTTATATTTAATTTTTGTTCACGAGTTATAGATGGTTCTTTTAAAAGTCATTCTTTAAGAATAGCTTCAATTATTTGGTTAAATAGCTTGTCCCCAAGGGGATCAGATCGACACTGCCCTATAATGTGAAAATTCAGGAACTTAATTTTTATCATTTACTTAACATTTAGTGCCAGAGAATTTTAAGGAGCTTTGAAAGAATCCTGAGGTAATGATGAAGCAACTAAATCTGAGGGAACTGGAGATGTTCGCCTGGAGGCATGCAGACAGGATGTAGCAGAGCAAGGCCGCTGCCCCTCCCCCACACGCGCTCTTAATTCTTTGCAAGTTTGCATGACTCAAGTCTGGTCATGGACCTAGTCACGAGTTGGCCAGTGATGGAGAACTGAGATACAAAGAGGGGTCTGCAAACGAGCTGCCGTTCGCTTGTTTGATAGAGCATTCTGTGCAGAGATCAGGGGACACATCGAGGCTTTTGCCATGCGTGGGCTGAGTTGGCTCTGCAAGGTTTCTTTGTAGGTAAGCTGCTCACGCCACCACAACAGACACGACCGTGGGGACAACGGTACTGGTGATAAAGGGTACTTGCTCTCACTTGGCAAGAGCGTGGTTTGGACTCAGAATGACTCGAGTTTTAATTTTGCTCTGTCATTGACAAATTGTGCACATTTTGTTCAACTGTTTGACTTCCTTGGAACGAAAAGGACATCCATACCATGGGGTAGCACAATCTCATGGTATTACAACTGAAACGCACCATGTAGCTCCAAGTAACTATGCATCATTTCCCTAGAAGAGAGTCAATGCTTAGTGATTTTTTAAAAAATACTTGCGTAATCCATTTCTATTTGGGAACAATGGGGTTTCCAGAAATGGCATCCTGACTGCCGTTTCAATGAATGGCAGTTGAGTTAAGAAGCTAGTAGTGAACAGATCTGAGCAAATCAAAACACTGGTGTGCTGCTATGGTAAGTGTTTGGAGAAGAGAGGCCTCAGTGAGGACCAGCAAAGGTGATTGTGAACGTAGTAAGAACAGAGGTGAGGCCGTGGGGAAGGAGCTGGTGTGCTGAGCAGCAGACACAGATGAAGACGCCACTGGCCTGGGGAAGTCTTTAGGTAATGTGCTATCTAGCTGAGCTGGGGTTGGTGGAATAGCAAACCGCTATGCTGGGGGTGGGAAGGTTTGAGCAGAAAAAAAAAACCGTGAGCTGTGCATGTCATGGGCTTTCACCGAGCCCTACTTCTTGCCTCTGAGTTCCCTGTATCTGTTGTAGAGGTCACTGGCCACCACAGGACCCATTGGGAACGGGCTTTGGAGGAATGAGGAAGCTCCCTTGTGGAAAGAGGAGACATTTAGAGAACCCTCTGCCCCAGACTCGTGCACACTTTACGTCATCCTCCAATGGTCTTCTGATGCTGTGAACCAGCGTCGTCTGCCTGTATTATTATTATTATTATTATTATTATTATTATTATTATTATTATTATTATTATTATATTTTGTCATCTGTGGTCTCAATGTAATGAAAATGTATATGCTTGATTGACTGCTAAAAAGCTAGGCTTTGCTCTTCTAATCTATGTATTTCACCAACACTATCATTCTTAGACAACTCTGTTCATTGTGGAACTGCGTATGAGGGTCCTGACAAACTTTCATTCAAAACAATGTGATTTTAATGGACTCAGGGCAGGCATCGTGGATCCTGGGTGAAAGGGATGTGAACAGCTTCCTTGTATGGACACATCACTTCCAAGGATCAGCACCAGTGCAGGTGAATGATCATGACCCTGTCCTCATATCCATTAGTGATGGAGGTGGGAGAACCTGAGAGCCAGAGCAAGGGGAGATAGGTAACATATCCATCAGCCACCAGGAGTGGGAGATGAAAGGCCAGGTCCAGAGATGAGATGCAGAATACTGCTGACAAAGGATTCTGATGAGGGGAAGCCTAGGGCGGCTCACAGAGCTGCCAATGACCACCACGAAAATGAAAATAAAAATAACAGATACCCTTGCAGGGTCTTCTACATGCACTATTTCATTTTTATCTTCACAGCCACCTCGCAAGGTTAATGTTATGAATTTCATTCTACAGGTAATGACAGATCTTGAATTAAAACCCTGGTCTTTCTGCGGTTGGCAGCTGAGCTCGGGGCAGCACTGAACTGCTTTCTAGGGAGTCATCTCAGTGGAAACTTCACTGTGTGAGGTCGCTTTTGGGGTGGGGATGACTCAAGGAACCGGGCCTGTGTGCTTGTTAATCATTTCTTCCCAGGAGTTGGGGCTGAGAGCCCCCAGGAAAGAAACCCCTCTAGATGAAAGAGAGAGTCTTGTTAGGATGAGCCTTCCAGCTGAGATGGAGGACTGACCTGGAGTCCAGCTCTGACAGACTCCCAGGTCGTCCTCTAACCCAGTCCCTTTGGGGTGACAACCATTACCACAATGTCAGGAATCTGGGTGATTGGGCAGGACTCTGTCTGGATATTAGGGCTGGAAACCAAGGCTGAGCGAATCGTGTCACCCGGGCCACCTTAAAGTGATGAGGGGAACGATGAATTTGGGGTTGAGCTGGGAGAAGGGTTCTCAGGAAGGCTTAGGTCAGTGAAGCGCCCCGGACTGGATGGGCATGGGAAGGGAAATCCATGGGCCATCATCTCTCCTTTCAGGACAAGTGAGGTTATTTTCAGTGCACTTGGGCTTCCTGGAATGTTCCCTTCACTGATTTCCCTGAGATGTCTGCTGGCCCCCCTTTCTAGTTTTAAACCAGCAACTTCCATATATTGGTCATGATAACTTTTTTTGTTTTGTTTTGTTTTGTTTTTTTGAAGTCAGGGTTTCTCTGTGTAGTTTTGGTGGCTGTCCTGGATCTCGCTCTGTAGCCCAGACTGGCCTCGAACTCACAGAGATCCACCTGGCTCTGCTTCCCGAGTGCTGGGATTAAAGGCATGTACCACCACCACCCAGCGGTCATGGTAACTTTTAAGATGACATAGCAACAGTATACTTTTGAATAAACAAGCATCTTGAATATTTTATGTATTTTTTCTTTTTCCATATAATATTTGATCATGTTCTCCCTCTCTCAACTCTTCCCAGATCTTCCCCATTTCCGCACCCACCCAATGTTCTCAATTTAAAACCAACCAACCAACCAAACAAACAAACAAAAAAAAACTAGGAAAAAGAATAACAACAAAACCCCCGAAAATCAAAACTAAAAAAGGAAATTTACTAATTTCCAAAAAAACAAACAAAACAAAACATGGAGTCCATCTTGGGTTGGCCAACTACTCTTGGATGTGGTCCCTGCCCTGGAGTGTGGTGGATATACCTAGTGACACTCCACTAGAGAAAACTGATTTTCCAATTGGCTTGAACCTGCTCAGGGCTTGTGCATGCTGACGTAGTCTCTGTGAGTTCATGTGTGCATCAGTCCAACTGTGTCTATAAGATGCTGTTTCTTAGGAGTCATCTGTCACCTCTGGGTTTTACAATGTCTCTGCAGCCTCTTCTGCATAGCTCTCTGAGGGGAGGGCTTTGATGAAAACATCCAGTTTCAGGGTGAGTACTCCAATGTCCCTCACTCTCTGTGCATTGTCCAGTTGTGGGCTTCTGTATTAACTCCATCCACTGCAAGGAGAAGCTTCCTTGACGTGGCCTGAGAGATGCTGTGCTCCATGGGTATGGCAGTACGCCATTAGGAGCCACTTTACTGCTATTGTACAGGCATTTCTTTTTTAAACTGAGAGTATGGGCCAAAGAGTTCAGTTATTTAAAAGGTTGGAGACAGGAAACCTCAGCAAAATCTGGAACACAGAACACTTGTTTTCGTTATAATTTTAGTGCCTCATTTCCCGTTTCCTCATTCTTTATGGTGATACTACTTGGTGATATAATGCAAAAGTGAACTGTACATGCTTGTTGTTGCCCAAGTTCTTCTAAACGATGATTTCACTAAGCACACAATACCTTTCTTGGGCTAACCAAGAATAAATGACTAGGACTAATATCATCCCCAATCTCCATCTAAATATTCCAGACCCATAGGAAAAATATAATTTTAGTTAAAAAAAATTTATACATGAAGCTGGAATAAGTGATCCCTAGGCCACATTTCCATTACAGCATTGGCATCCATACCTCCCGACTTGACTGCACTCTGGGGTCTACCATGACATCAGCATCCATGCCTCCTGACTTGACTGCACATCTGGGTCCATCAGGACATCAACATCCATGCCTCCTGACTTGACTGCACATCTGGGTCCATCATTACATTGGCATCTGTGTTTCCTGACTTGACTGAACATCAGGGTCATAAGTCACACCTTTGGCAAAGTCACACCAAGTGTGACACCTCTTCCTATGATATAGCATTTCTATTCTGCCATGCCCCTGTAATAACAACAAAATGTGTAATTTGTATAATCTAATCTCCCTAGACCTCAACTTCTTCATCTGCGGTGCTTTTGGCCCCAGTCCTGAAATTCCTGTTTCATTCAGAATTTGCATCATTTGTTTCTTCTGAGATTGTTCTGTAAGGACACCCAACACATCCTCCCAACCCTTTAGTGGAAAAGGATATGGTCATGAAGATAGAGGAGGTCAAGGTCAGTAGAATTTAGTGGAATGATGGGTGAGACCAACTTTGGGTACAGGTCACAGAGGTCTTTTTTATGGTGAGTATGGCAGTAGTGAGGGAAAAATATGAACAAATGATAGTACTGTAACACAGAACCTGGGATGGGAGCCCAGACAACACAGAAGTTCAGTAAGATCTTAGACAAAGGTGCTGAATCTCCCTCTCGCCCTTCCCAGAGGACAGAGTTATCAGAAACCAATGACTTGGGACATTTTTGAGTACAACTAGTCTACCTCAGGACGGCTCTACCAACACTCACCCTGGGGACAAAACCAGCTCCCAGGTCATCTTGAACAGACTGACATGACTTTTCTTCCAAAGCTAGCCAGTGGTCACTAAAAACTCGCACCCAGACTCTGAGATGTGTAAATGTCTAAAAACTAACACTTATTTCCTGGTGAGAAAAGAATTGTCTTTCTTTCATTATTGTTCCATCAACTCCAACTCACAAAAGGGCTTAGATTTCAAAGCACACCGGGAAATCGCCTGCTCCAGTAATGAAGAGGTTATGTTCTCTTCTCTCGTGATGGAAACAGGACATTTTGGAACCCCAGTGTCCCTATGGCTTCCCCACCTGCAATGTGTTTATTGGGGGAGGCACTCTGGACCCGTTTCTTTATTCATTATGTAAAATGAAATTCCCCTGTAAGACTCCTCAAGTAACTTGGGTCAACACCCTGAACTCACGCATCTACAACTGTGAATTTGCTCTGCTTCTGCCCAGGGGCCTTCTCAAAACACTCTTTGAGAGTCAGGGTTTAGCTGTCCATCTTAGTGCAGGATCTCAGAAACATCTGCCCCTCCCTTCAGTCTTATTCTTTCTGTTCATTTCTCCGTATGGCTAGGCCTGGTCCTCACTGGGCATGCCATCTTTTATTCCGGCTTGCCTGTGTTTCTGGGAACACCCTGAATTAACTGTCAGGCCTGGAGGCTCATTGTAGATGTCTTTTGCCACCAAGAATAAGAGGCTGTGGGAACTGGCCAGTCTCTTTGTAGTCCCTCCCCTCCCCAGAACAGCAAGCTGACATAGGTTTTTTCCAAAATGGGGACACTGTTTGTCTGTGGTCAGGAAATCCCAGCTGAACAAGGACAAGTGGTGTTACCCCCTCCCAGACCAGGCATTCTTAGGCTCTCAGCTTTTGTGTGTGCAGTTCATGCTGTCTGGAATTTCTTCCAATATCTCATTCCAGTTAGCTCCAGCAGATATGAAAGTAAAGAGAATAATGCAATATGTAATATAATGAATGCACCCATCACCCAGTTCCAACAATTACCAAAACAAAGCAAAAGTAAATATTCTTTTGACCTCCTCCATTATATCCTTTAAATTCATGGGAAAATTGGGTCTAACTGTTTCAAACATCATCTAATACAATAGAGGGATCTTTCGTCTGTAACAAGCTATACTTTGATTAGGCTTTTGATATTTTCCACAGCAAATAACAAATTTTGATTCTTTAGTTATATAGTTAGTGTGTGTTATTTGTATATGTGTGTGTGTGTTTGTGTGTAGATGCATGTGCTTGTGGAGTGTGTGTGTGTGTGTGTGTGTGTGTGTGTGTGTGTATACCCATGGAGGGTAGAGGTCAAAGTTGAGTGCTGTACTTAGGAGCTGTCCTTGTGCTTTTGAGATAAGGCTGCTCACTGAGTGCTCCATGGGGTTTTTTGGCCATCAAGCCCAGAAATCTGCTTGTCTTTGCCTCCTGGCTCTGGAACTATAGGCGTGTATGCCATCCCACTTGGCTTTTTACGTTTGTCTGAGAATCAACCACAAGTCTCCAAGCTTGCATGGCAAGCATTTTAAAACTGGGCTATCATTCAAACTTTACACCAAGCAGATGTTTTCAAATTCTGATATTTTATATCAAATTGACAAATTTTCATATTTTCAAAAGTGAGCTTGTTTTATACAGTTAGACTATCATCAGCGGCCCCTGTGAGCCAGGGATCCAGAGTTAGGCTCTAAATCTTCTCTGCTTTCTGAAGCTGCTGGGGTTCCCAGCTTGGTGGTGCAATGTGAGACAGCTCAGCATGGGTTTGCGTGGAGTACTCAAAATGCAGAAGGCTGTGTGCAGCGTGCAGCGTGCAGCGTGCAGCGTGCAGCGTGCAGTGTGCAGCGTGCAGCGTGCAGTGTGCAGCGTGCAGCAGAGCACTGTTTCCTGATGTTCTCACAGACCCTGGCCTGGATATGACCCTTGGATACCCAGTGTGAGAGGTCAAGCAGTGGAAAAGAGGTCTTCCTGAGCACATAGCTCAGTACTCACAGTTTACAGGTAACAAGACAAAAAACAACAAAACAAAACAAAACACCCTCCAGAACTGATAACTTAAGTAGGGCCACACAGTTTGGTTACAGCTGAGTGGGACCTCAGACTCCTTATGCTGAGTTCAACATTAGCAAGAAGATAATGTGGCATAAAAGGCCTCACTGTGTCCGTAGCTGCCCATCTGAGTCAAATATTCTATTGCTGTGAAGAGACACCATGGCCAAGGCAGCTCTTGTAAGAGAGAGCATTTAACTGGGGACCTGCTTACCCTTTCAGAGGTTTAGTCCATTATTATGATGGTGGGGAGTATGGGTGCATTCAGGCAGGCCCATCCCCAGTGACACACTTCCTCTAACAAGACCATACCTGCTCCAACAAGGCCACACCTCCTAATTCTTCTAACCCTTTCAAACAGTGCCACTTCTTGGTACTAAGAATTCAGATACATGAGCCTATGGGAGCCATTCTTTTTTTTTTTTTTTTTTCTTTTTAAATGTATTTACATACTGTTCTTAGGTTCTTTTAATACTAGTCTCTGATATTATAAAACTTCAGCATTGTTTTTTGCCCTTTGAGAAATTCTAAATACAAATTGAATTAAAAGATTGTTCCAAAATCTGCTTCACCAAAAGGCATTAAAACATTTCCTAGGGCAGGGAAGCGTTCTACTGTCTTTAGTTGTTATTGTCTGGGATGAACAGGAGGAAGTGGTTAACACACCGGAGACACCTGCACACACCAAGACACTGCTATTTCCCTTCCCTTGCACCTACACAGTCCTAGGAGGCATCCCACTGTTGGCAGCTGCCAGCTGTGCACTATAGACTGGCTCCGGTGATCTGGCCATTATATTCTGCTGTCTCCATCTTGAGGATGTAGGGAATTATGCTGTCTATTGAAACATTGCCAATGAGACCAGTAAAAAAAAGTTCCTCTGTTATGTTGGAGCTCATGAGCCTGAGTGCTGGCAGGCGGACAAGGATCCTGGCCAATCTGTATGTGTCTTCTGAGTAGGTTTTCTGCACATAGTCCTGTAGCTCCATCTGTGCCTTCTCCTGAAATTTCTCAATCTGGTTTGTGCCTGTCAAACCTGGATGATCGGGGCTAAAGAGAACTATAGCTTTAAGGTATGCGTACTCATAGCCGTCTATATCCAGTTTCGCCATGCTGTTACAGAACTCCTGCAGCTTCCAGATGTGCTCCATGACTTGCTTTATCCGGTCACCAGAAAGCTTATCTTCCTGGATGCTGTTCTGCAGATGGTTAACAATGGCTGCCAGGATGGTGGAGAGACTCATGACCTGGGCGCACTGGGCCAGGCCAAGAGTGAAGAGCTCATTCCAGCAGGCCCGTACCAGGCTGGTATTGCAGTCCTGTCCAAGTGCCTGGAAGGCTGGGATTGACCTTGCCCAGTGCATGGAGAGGAAAAGCAGGCGGGATGCAGACTCGCAGATGTAATGCACATTGAGGTACTCTGGCATAGGGCTGGGCATCGTAAGCTTAAATGTGACGTGTGTATCTGAAAGGAGGGGGCCTTCAACTTCAATGATGGGTGTTGACTGGTCTCTGCTGATGACATGGATGCTCCCTCCTCCACTAGCATCCATGCTATCTGCCAGGCTGGGAGGTGAAGCACTATCTGTGGTATTAAGTGCTTTAGCTAAGGTGTCGAATGCCCGAGTAATCTCACTTGCAGATTGGTCCTCTGGCTGCATTTCTGAAGTGTCACCATTGTTCAAAGATTCACTCAGATTGGCCAGAGAGGTCACTACATTTGCCAGTGTACCCAGAGCTCCTTGACTTGTTTCAGCCTTGGAATCCGTGGCCAGGAGAACCGTACCATCTTCACGAATCAAAGGCTGCTGGATGTTCACAAGCATCCCTGGATCAAGAAGACCTGTTTGTCTTGCTCCATCCTTGTCTGCCACAAATGTGGGAGTGGCTATCAGAGGACTTCTCAGGTCTTTCCGGATATAGATCTTCTCAGTCGAAGCAGCACAATTGCTTGGTTTCTCCCGTTGCACATCAAAGGGCTTCCGTTCACTTTGTACAGATTCCATTTTCATGCCCATCTCCAGGCACTTTTTCAGCCTGCAGAACTGGCAGCGGTTTCGGTGATGCTTGTTGATGATGCAGTCTTGGCTGCTCCGGCAGCTGTAGGTCAGATTCTTCCTCACGCTCCTTTTGAAGAAACCTTTGCAACCTTCACAACTGACAGCCCCATAGTGACGGCCAGAGGCTTTGTCACCACAGACCACACAGTACTCCACCACCTGGGGCCGCTGGACGTCTGCCTTCCCCAGCAAACGCTCCACAGAAGCAGAATCCGTGACGATCTGGATCCTGCCAGGGACAAGGTTGTCCGAGGTGGTGAATATGAGCTGTTTGGCACTGGATGTCTCTGGAGACGCCAGGATCACCTTCCCAGTTCCAGCTCCATCTGGGCTGGTCAGGATGAACTGCTGTTTGGAAGACCCAGAGGCGTCCACTGCGGTGACTATCTGGATCTTCTGTCCTGTCTGCTGGTCTGTTACAATCTGAATGCGCTGAGGTGAGGCTACCGCAGAGTCGGTGGAAATTATCTGGATGCGCGGGGAGGGGCTGGTCATCCCTGGAGATTCCGGCCGAGAGGTCTGTGTACGTGGTACCAAAGGTGAGGATCAACGTGCTGAGTGGTCACCTGGGTACCTCCAGGAATGAGTCTTCACAAGGAAACATGCATGGACTTTCCTGATAAAAATCCTTGCTCAGGGGGCTGGAGAGATGGCTCAGCGGTTGAGAGTACTAGCTGTTCTTCCAGAGGTCCTGAGTTCAATTCCCAGCAACCACATGGTGGCTCACAACCATCTCTCAGCCACCTGCTGGGTCCCCACTCTGTGCTGAACCAGCCCCTCCATATTTGTAGCCATGGTGAAGCAAGATCATTAGAGAACCTATTCAGAGGGCCTGATCCAGCTGGGAGCCCCTCAGTCTTTGGTTCATAGTTCATGTGTTTCCATTCATTTGGCTATTTTTTTTTTCAATAATTGAGTAAAACTGAAATTTATTATATGCCACAGTCGTCCTAGGGACCTCCATGCTATATATATAGCCTCTATGGTTCTATGGGTTGTG